CTGAGTGCGTCGATCTGTGGCTTAAGAAAACTGATACGCATTTGTGAAGAGTATGCGAGTGGACACGGTCTAAAGTACAATGTGAAGAAAAGTCAATGCATGGTCTTCAAGGCAGGTGCCAAGTGTCCCCAGGATTTACCTCCAGTGTTACTAAATAAGGTGCCCCTGTCAACCAATTTAAATACCTGGGACACATAATAACTAATGACCTCAAGGACAATGCGGAAATAGAGCGGGAGCGGAGAGCGTTGTCCATTAGAGCTAACATGATAGCCCGCAGATCTGCGCGTTGCTCACAGGAGGTAAAAATTACACTATTTAGAGCTTATTGTACGTCACTTTATTCATCCAGCCTGTGGGCAGACACGAGTATAATAAACGAAGTTACAACGATCTCCGCGTCCTGTACAATAACACTTTCAGGGTGGTTTTGGGGCTGCCCCGCTTCTGCAGGGCCTCTGGCATGTTTGCGGAGGCGCGCACTGTTTTAAGGCGACCATGCGTAAGCGGTGCGCGTCACTGGTGTGCAGAGTGTCGGCCAGCTCCAATATTATTCGGAAAATTATAAGAGACAGATAGGACCCTCCTATTATCCGGCATTGCTGCGACAAACATGTCCCAGTAATTGTGGGAGTGAAAAGATACTAAATAATAGTTATGTGTTAGTTATTATTGTATATACAATAACTAACATACATATATGTTATTTTATGTATGTTAGTTATTGTATTTTCATGACATATTATTATTATTTATTATCAATTGTTTTTAAATCAATTTTAATCATATGGATCTTATGTTATCTGAAATAAATTAATAAATAAAAAAAATAAGTGTGATGTGTCTCGCTGATATGCTGTAGGCGATCATCACGTGTGCGTAAAACAATGTCTCTTTTGTCACATTCCTGGTCAACCAAGAGGACGGCTACCTCGTTTGATGTTGGTGCGTTATATCGTCCTGGATGGGCTGCGATCGGTCTTTTGTCTGCGCTAATATTAAAATTATCACGCTCGTGTTCAGGTACCGATTCCAGAGCGGTTTTGAAATCGGTAACGTATGAATTGACACTGTGCAGAGTGTAATCCCCTTTTGTAATCTCCTTATAAGGCTCAAGTCTAAATTAGGAATGTGTCGACATCGGACATTAACCTGTTCAGCAAAATCTGCAATTAAATATATTTGCAAAAATTTCGGCATATCGGTGGGGACCTATCCGATGGTAGACTTGTCCCTGAATTTTAAAAGTCGGCATGAATCCAGATTCAGTGACTTAATGAGTTCCAAATGAAGTCATCTGGAAAGCACTGTTGTAGGCTCGAATATTGCCTAAGAAACAGCTGGACTTGGGATGCTCGCTATTCAAAATAACTAGTAAGATCTCCGGTAGCTCTTGCATAGAATTAAGTCGTACCTTTCCAGACACACAACACATTCCCTTGGTCTCTCCCTTCCACTTACGCGCGTGACAGTGTGCACACACCTCAAACATGGTGCTAATTTCTCCGTGTTCGATATAATTAATAAATGGGTTATAGGAAAACGCGCTCCTTTCTTTATTGAACCACGGTTGTGTGTCTTCAGGATCATAAACCATAGACTCAGTATTAGATGAGGATGAATTGCGAAGATTGCGACGTATACGGTCTAGATCAATTTGGGCCACACGCTGTTCGAATGACTGACTTTCGCGAATTTCCTGAATCCGCTCACGTTCGTGCGTAGAATGAACAGACACCTCAACACGCATGTCGTGATATCTTTGCCGAGCAAGTGCGATGTGTTGCTCGCGCTGCTCTTCTGTCTCCAAAGACAGAGCTAGAGCATGCTGTGAGCGGTCTGCACTAAAGCGCGTCTCATTTTCTTCAGGATTCTCAAGTAATCGAGATGTGGCAGTGCGAATACGTTGGGAGCTTAAACGCGATTCTCTCTGCGTGTAAGTCTCCGAAGCGCGAGATACTGCGTGGCGCTCGCGATCGCTTGCTTGGCGTGTATCGCGCTCCTGACTGTTCTCGAGCGACCGAGCAGTCTCAGTGCGGAAAAGCTGAAGACTTAATCTCTGCTCTCTCTCTGTATCCGTTTTGGAAGCGCGAGGTAAAAAATAACGCTCTCGGCCACGCGCAAGTCGTATCTCACGCTCCTGACTGCTCTCAAGTGATCGGGCAGTCTCAGAGCGGATATTCTGAAGACTCAACCTCTGATCCCTCTGTGTAGCCGTTTCGGATGCGCGAGACAAAGAATGACGATCCCGGTCGATAGCTAAACGCATTTCTCGTTGTTCCACACTTTCCTGATATCGACAAACAGTAGTGCGGACTCGTTTAAATTCTAGTCGTAATGGGTTTTGCGTGCTAGTTTCTGCGGAAATACTTAGTGAATTAAGCTCACGGTTAGCACCTAGCCGTTGTTCACGCTCTGCGTAGGTTTCGAGAGATCGAACTAACCTGCGCATATAAGGAAACCCTTGAATTTCGAGACAGATTTGATCTTTTTCTAAAAGGCATAACTAAAATTCCTTCTTAATCCGATACTAACGATATTCAAAACAATGAAAAGTAATCGAATAAGTACGTAAGAATTACTAGTAAATAGAAAAATAATAATTATTCGCATTTAATCATATCAACCAACACAGACAACAAAGGTAACCCCCGTTTCTATAGGATGAAAGCGGCCCATCGGCACCTATAACATCACTTTTTGGGAACGAAACCACAGCGCGATCTAACTCGACGCCAACGCCATCTGGTTAGAAAATAGAAACTACATATTATTCACCCAAATGAATTAAGTAAATTATGAATTAAAACTAAATTGTCGTTAATTTAACAGACAAGTACATTATTTTTGCATTAAAAAATATGTTAACATACTTAAATCAATTACCTACAACAAATGTTAGATACCAGGCGTAGAATTACCAAGCGTAGCCAAGATATAACTTACGAGTAGAACCAAAAGTTTGACTTGACTTCATGATAGTGTAACTTTTTGTACCACCAATCAATCTGTTTAGTAATATTGGTGTGAAACTCTCCATACAATTAGATAGGACATGTAAAGTTCTCAGATTTCCTAATGCACATAAAAAATTCAAAATTAAAAAAAAACAATATTATGGGATTTAAACTCGCACCACTTAATGCGGTTAACGGTCGCCTGACCTTACCCCTAAATTCCCCATTGACATAATGTTAAACAGCTGTTCCCTTGCAATTTATAATATAACTGCCCCGATCCTTTATAAAAATAGCGTGATTATTATGTTCCCAGAGTTAAATTTTTATTTTTATTTTAACTAATAAATAATATGTCATTTTGTGCATTCAATTACGAAGAAAATCTTTTTAAAATCAATATTGCTTACCTCCTATAACATACGGCGTGATAATATGTAGCCTAAAGCCTTCCTTGGTTTACAAAGAACATTTTTGCTGAATTTCAATTCAATCTATCCAGTAGTTTTGGCGTGAAGCCGTACCATATACACAGACCAACAGACAAACGGACAAACAAACAAACGGACAAACAGACAAAAATTCTAAAAAGTCACTTTTTGTCATCAGTTACATTTTTCTAACAAAAGCCACTAATTTATTCTCGAAATTCTCAATACACAGTTTTTCTTTCGTTACTGTTTTATTATATGTATAGATGATGAACGAAACCCTAAAAATGGCTTTACTTTACATTGTAATGTTATTTTAAAGGTAATGTTGACAACCTTGCACATGTTTACAGTTTACAGGAAGTCTGTAGTCTGTAAGCATGTTCAAGATCGTCACCCGCCTTTACATCAGATTTGATGAACCACAAATCCTCAAGAATAACAGTAACACTGATTCCTTCTAAGGAATTGATATATAGAGGCTATTGAAAATAAATAAGTTTAACCAAGATCAATTACAACAACCATATTTCAATAGAGACGACAGCTGGGTGCTACCATCTGCTCGATTAATAAAATAAAAATTTAATGAAACTGCAAGAATATAAGATACCGTTTGGTCCTTCTGCGTAGATCGGAGTAAAAATAATATTCAAACGTTGAAAGTAAGAAAATAAGTTTCATTAAACTCGAGAAATTCTGTAAAATTACTTATTTATTATTTATTTATTACAAAATCCCGTGGGTGTCGTAAGACGCGACAGAGGAGAACAAATCAGTAGTATCAGTCAAGCAGCAGTGTCTTCCTTGCTTGCCAGGCATGGTAATTATCCTCCTGGGAACCAATCAAAGAGGGAGGCCTATGCTCAGCAGTGGACTTTAAGGAGCTGTAACGGTAACGGTATTACATACAACGTAACGTAATTTTATATTGGAAGTGAAGATGGATGAACCTTAGCTTACATACATATCTTAATCTAATCTGAACCGGGGATAAGCAGCGACATCAATCAAAATAATATAGTCAAACTGTCATAATACTCGAGCATTGTAAGAATTTGTAATTGTAAGAGAATTTATCGACAAATGTCCCGCGGGTTGCTACATAGCAAGAGGCGGTGAAAAATGCCAAGTGAATTATGGCTTTCGATTGATAGCAGTATTTCTATCTTACTCACGTTACATGTTAAATACCTCATACCGAAGAGCAGCAGCCTTAAAGTTCAATTCGACTGCCAAGTGTGACGGTCAAGGTTATTTTGTTAGGATTATTTCGCCCTACAGGGGAGGCTAATGTTCAGTGTTGGAATCGTACCGACCGTTACGATATTCTCGGTGATGAAGAATAGAATCACGAGGAAACTCACATATCTGAAATGTAAATATTTCAAAGACACTTAAGTACATTAACAAGATTATTACTGAAAACACCTACGTCACTAAAAGGGAAAAGGTACACAGGCAATGGAACGTTTGCTTAATACTTGAAACTCTGACAAGCTGATTGCAGAAATCAAGATACCGTTGCGTGCAGAAAGTAAAGCAATAGTTTATCCTATTATTCGTGTTTTTGTTTCAGGTGTGAGCGTCAACGGGCGAATGGTCCGCAGAGATGGGAGGGCCGCGGCGCATGTCAAGTGCGCTGCTGCTGCCCTTCGCCCTCCTCTCCCTCCCACCAGTTGGTGCTTTCAACGCCACTGCATACCGAGTAAGTTTTCTGTTCTGCTGCTATAATAGTGCGTAAAAAATTAACAATGAAATCACAAAATATGCCTATCTAATTTAACAATTGGCAGTCTATCAGCCGTCGATCATCCCGTTCATATCAAAGTTTTCTGACAAAGGAGTTGAAGATAAATGCAGATGTCTATAGGCCACAGCTCCCACTTATCATCAGGTGGTCTGTGTGCACGTTTGTCATTCCCATTTTATAATAACTTAAATTGAAAATTAAAAAAAATCCCATAAACAAAAAGCTGATGATCTTCTAACGGCTTTACCGATTTTGATAAAACATGTCTAAAACCACCGCTAGAGAGCATGCTTTTAAATAAAAAAACCGCATCCAAATCGGTTCACTCGTTAAAGGACACAAAGACAGAAAGACACACACGTAGCGGTCAAACTTATCTCTCTTTTTCGTCAGGGATTTAAAAATACCTAGACCAAGATTCTGTGTAATATAACGCCAATCGGCTTGCCAAAGCGGATTGCCGTGCGATAGATTTTCTTATGCCATACAAAAAAAAAAAAAAAAAAAAAAAAATCCCGTTAAGTGTGTTATCAAAATCAGTATCCAAGTGTGTAGAAATAATTTATTTTGATGAAAAAAAAATTATTTGCAAATTGTATGTGGTTTTATTTCCTCTAACTCACACGGGTATCGATACTGCGGGGTCTTTGACAATCCTCTTACTCCTCGGCCAATGCAGAGATAACACTACATATAATTAGCAAATTATTATTTTTTCATTAAAACTAATTTTTTAAAAGTGTTTTTTTTAGTTATTTCTATACGCTTGGATACTGATTCTGATAACGCAGTTAACGGGAACCACAGGGATTTTGTTACATGTTGTATATATATATATATATATATATATGTCACTAGCGATCCGTTCCGGTTTCGTACGATTGATTTCTGAATCTCGTCAACAGCGCCACCTACCCGGTCTAATTGTGAATCGAAACCATTTAGGAACTAAAGCATACAAAAAAAATCATCAAAATTGGACCAACCGTTTTCGGGTTTTTGCGAGACTAACGTATAGCAGGTGATTTTTATCTTAATATATATAAATTACGTGAAACGTTGTTTGTCCGCGATGGACTCCTAAACTACTAAACCGATTTTAATCAAATTTACACACCGTGTGCAGTTTGGTCCAACTTGAGAGATAGGATAAGTTTTTTTTGCCCATGAGCGACCCACAATTTTTTTTGCGAATTTAAGCATTTTTAAATAGGACATGACAGGGTTGTCGAAATGGGCAGAACAACGTCTGCTTGGCAAGCTAGTATACTATATAGATTAGTATAATTTATTCAAACAAAGCTTGGTATTAAATGAATTAGTTCAGTGTCAATATATATACTGTACAGTTAGTAATAAAATTATTCCCAAACATTCGTAGAATTGTTCCGTCATGTTATACAACACTACTTACCTGCCCGCAATAACGTGCATATCCAAGCTACTGCAATACTTGAAACCGGGAAGCCTGGAATTAGTATTTAAATGCACGACATGAACGTTCAATTTAAAAGTACAGCCGCCGCTTGTCCTAGATTTTGTGCAATATTTCGTAATCCGAAAAATTATCGTAGAAAAGAAAAGACGAGCAGCGACGCAATTAAAGTTATTGCTTTCATAATGAATATTATTTGTAATATACTTGATATTTCTATTATAAGGCTGTTACATATTGTGAGATAAAATATTGCAAATTTCTGATATCTATAGATTGACCAACAAACTCGCATTCAAATTCTACTGGATTACAATGAAAATTAATTAGCCAATATTGAAAAATAACAATTTATAAATTAGGACCCAATCACTTTCAACTGCACATTGATAATATATATATATTCTATGTAAATATAATAAACATCGATATAAATCACACGATATGGTCGTGCGAACAAAAATTGCATAGAATAAATCGGCGCCATATCCTTCGATCAACAATACCAACTATTGTTGATCGGAAGCCATATCTTAAATACTCATGTACTACCACGGAATCAGTGTTTTCACTTATGATTTTGGTGTTACCCTAGAACCTGTAGAAAGAAATACTTCCTAAATTATCGTAAAAAAATCAAAATAGCCTTATTTATTACGCATAATTTTCAATATTTTTAAGAATATCATTGCAAGATATGAATATCATTTCACGATTAAAACTCTTGAGTTTTATGATGAAGAAGATGTTCTCATTTTCAAATTATAATAACACTTAATCTCATATGAATAACTAATATGTAACTAAGTAAAATATTATACCTCTATTCCCGGTATACAGAATGAAAAACTTTTTCATTCTACACTTTTATAGCTCTTTTGACCCTATCCCCTGTGATAAATCTTTAAAAAAATTACATTGGGTGGGTATAAAAAACAAGGTTACCTGATGTTCGATATTACCAAATCACTAAAACACCTAAAGCCCTATCTATGTTAGTAGATTTACCCTAAAATAGTGCAATATATCTAAAAGTGGGAACACGGACGCACGTATTGGTGCTCGCGTTGGTGCTCCATAAACATTTTCGCACCAAAGAGTCGGTGTCATTTTGTTTGTTCAATGACCCGTTACATACGCAGTAGTATAATAAGTCTATGATAATGAATAATATTATGTTTTGACATACAATCGTCAATATGTAAATTGTTGTATTACATTATGTTGTTGTATAACATTGTAAAATTATTTGGCAACAATCTCTACTCTGTGCATCTGTTTTAAGTGTTCTTGTACTTACTCTGAGTTAAGTGCAGTTTGAACGCCAACAAACGACATAACTTGTACATACTTGTACAATTATGTGCGTATTACATGCGACAAATATCGGCAGTATGAGCGTAAACACATGTTTTATGTTATTTCATGTATTTATAACCCGTATCTCTATGTATAAAAATCATTTGGTGTCCGTTAGTCTCGCAAAAACTCGAAAATGGCTGGACTGATTATGATGAACTTTTTTGTGTGTTTTGGGTCCCTGGATGATTTAGATTCACAATTGGACTCGGTGGGTGGCGCTGTTGTCGGGATCCAGAAAACACCCGCGCGAAGCAGCGGCGGATCACTAGTTATACATATAAATGTATAGAATACTACATATAATACATACATAACAGAACGGGGGAGTGGGCGGAGCCCGCGTAACCACCAAAATGTCACTAACACGTCAATTCACACGTATAAATGTCAACACGAGATGTGTTTTGACGTTACAATCGTTTCCAAATTTCGCATGCAAATTTAGAAAATGCCAAATCACACCCTATTTACAAATAAATATGTATTAAAATTTAAACGATTTTTTTAATGATGATCTTGAACATTAATCAAAAGTCTAAAATGTGTAAATTTACTCAGTCCGTCAACACAGCGAATCGGGTTTGACGACGCCAATCCTTGTAAAAAATAAAGTTGACAGCCGTTCTATTGTGAATTATAGTATTCTAGTATAAATGTTAGTCTTCTGCACTCCTTCTCCATATAAACTTAAAATATGCTACATCTGGCACTCCTCCGTGAGAGCAATATGGAATAAAAAATTATAAAAAAAAGTATATTTACATATAAATACTGGAAGACAAAACTTATTATTTAAATATGTAAAATTTATATATTAATACATGAAGGGTTATTTGTATTACGTGCTTTTATTCCTCAACAAATTCAAAACAGAATCAAATTTCTGAACAATATACGTACTTAACAGATCATCCAATTTTTGATTACATTTGTATTTTCTCACTATTATGTTTGAGTTTTCGAACGTGGTAGAGCCATTCTGCAGCTATATTATAATTGCAGCACGATCACGAATGGAAAAGGGAATGAGACCACTCTCTCACAGAATACGAGTGTAAAATGGCAGCTCAATGCTATTTTATACTAGTATGTTTTATATGGTGAGTGTACCCGGACCCCGGACCCGGACCGGAGACCCTATTTACTAAAAAACCACTTAGGTGTAATGTGTGCTCGTATTATTATGTGCTTTACAATAATTTTAAATTAATTTAATATTTTTTTATATTCTATAAAAAATACTTCCCTATGGTAAAGCTAATTTTAAGTTTAAGCCTTATAAAGTTTTCGAATAAAATTGACTAGCAAAGTTTTGAAAATACGATTATTTACAAGTAAAATATTAGAATATACCGATTTGAAATTCCCTTCTACATTTTTATGAGCTAAATTGAAATATAGTGTTCACAAAACACTTACTCTCTACTCGGATGTATATAAAGATGTATATATAGTCTATGCGCTTTACCGTGTAATCATGTTTCATTGAAAATAATATCTGCGTCGAGAATATTAACGCAGAATGATTTTTACAACTTCAAATGTCGCCTAAATTCAAAGGACCTTTTTTGCCTTTAATGACATTAAAAAATAAAAGCTCTTCTAAGGAAACCTTGTACCGTTAATACAACAAATTTCAGCTTGAGATATGAAAAAAAGCGAGGTTGTTACAGCAGAAACGTGGGTATTGTAAAAACGTATTCAAAGATAATAAGCGAAAGGCATATGAAGAAATTCAGCACATATTACAGATTGGATCGGGAAGCGTTCACGAAATTTTACACGAATACCTTCGGATGAGGAGTATAGTTTCTCTGTGGATGCTGTATAAAGTCACTGATGAACAGAAGCAAGCCTGCATGGAATGGCGGCGTAATATGTTTCCAGGCTCATCTCGGCGTGTTTACGATATTATTACAGGATGAATCTTGGTTTTATCAATATGATCTGAAAACAAAGCGTCAGTCGAAGGCTTGTTTGTTTCCAAAATGAACTAAAGCCTATCAAAGTGAAGCGAATAAGAAGCGCAGGGAAGATTTTGATCACTACTTTTTCATGTCGTATCTGACGTAAACTCCTTTACGAAATCGAAGAAACATCAATGTGGAATGGTATACAACAAAATACTTGCCAGAAGTTTTCACTGCCACCAGCAACA